AACTCATTTTTCTTCTCAATTTAGACTTAGACCAGTTTCATAATTATGGGCACGTATCGCATTTTCGTGGATCAGTCTACTTAAAGATGATTTTATATCGGCGTTCGGTATCGTGCATCACCGAGAAAGAAGAAGGTCGAAGTTAAGTGGATTAAGAGTTCGGAACAACGAACTTTCTTCAGTCCGACTTCCACGCCGAACATTCTTTTTAACGTAACGAAGGAAACCACAACGTGACATGATTCCTACCACGCTCTTCTCTATTCTTCTCTTTCCCCCTCTTCGTTTCTGTTCCCTTCTTCTTCTGTCCACTTTAACGAGAAATATTGACCTTCTCTCTCTGTCACGTACACGCGTGTGTTACATTGTCCTCTCTCGTGTACAGTGGCATCCAAAAGTTCTCGGCTAGACCGTTTTTGGAACTTTTCTTTAGACGTATTTATTTAGAAATAAATAATTTAGCATGTTCAAAGGGTTTTAGTCAGAGTTTGAAAAAGAAAATAATGCTTGTATTCTATTACAATAATAATTTAATGTATATAACTTATATGTAACTTTTTGTTATTATGACACATTAGGGACATATTACTTGAGAGGATACTATAAAAAAATCCACAGCATTCAATCTTTATACGTATTTGTTTAGAAATAAATTACTCAGAATGATCAAAGGTTCTCGACCAGAGTGTTCAAAGAAAGCAATGCTTGTTTTCTATTACAGTAATAATTTAATATGTAGCATTTAACATATGACACTTAGTATTTTGACCATACCTTTTGCATTAATGACAGCGTTGCACCGAACCTGGCACTCTCGTCTTAGAGTGGTCAGATTCGAAGGCGCACGCCTTCTTCACACAAACTTTCGGTTCTAGTCCATGATCGGCTGAGGCGCTCACGCACACCAATTGTGTCGCGCGACAAAGAGTGGGGAGAGTCGTTTCCGGACATGCCATTGGATCTCTGGGAGCAACTGTCTCCGCCCTTATGACGTCACGAGTGCCAGGTTCCCAGCAACTGACTGTACACCAGATTGCTTCTCCTTCTCCCAAACCTACAGATATTCTCTGTTTTATACATGCAAATTTATTTTCTCTTCCTCATACATATGTACATATTATACTATTGTCATTTCTCTTTTTCTTTTGCACACACTACATCATCATCATCATTATTTCTTCCTCTGTCCTGCACATATACATTGTATCATTTGTTACTTTTATTTCTGTCATACACACTCAGAGACTCTCTCTTTTTCATTCGTTCACTCGAATATTTATCATTCTTCTTGCCTTCCACAAACTCACATAGATTGACGTTTACACACACAATCTTTTCTCACTTTCTCTCTCTTTCTTTCTTATTAATACTTTCACTTCCACAGTGAGCTCTGAGATGGCTTGAAAACAATAATTCATGAGACAACTCGAATAAAAATTCCAAAAATACTCAATATTGTAAATAATTAGATAACACTGAGACGTAAGAATTGTACTAACAAATAATTAATAACCATCTAACAAATACATATAGATTATCTCTCTTACACACACACAGTTTCCTTTTCCCGTTTTCATATTATCTCTCTCCCTCTCTCCCATTCTGCTTCTTTTCTCCCGTCTCTAGTTCTCGTCCTTTATCGTTCGCTTTCTTTTATTTGCCGCAATCGTCCAAGTTCTTAACTTACCGCGAATCCCGGCCGATAATTAAAAAACTTTCTACGGTCAATTACGATGTTTACACGCCGGCGAGATATTTTATCGGGAACGACGAATAATAGTGGGATTCCTTCGGTAAATATTTTCCGATGCGCTTCTTTGGGAAGTCGGCCCATACAGGCTTCAGAGGTCTATGGAGAACGGGATCTGGAAACTGGGACGGGCTGTCTTTCATTTCCAACTGGGGAGAATCGACAGGGGAAAAGCAGTTAAGTTACAGAGGATTCTGTAACGCGCACCGCACACTCGATTGTGTTTTAATCAATTTTGCGGTGCACCCGGGATTCGCGTTTGTTTCTTCGGGTGTTTTTATTCGATGCGTCTTGATTTTCTGGAATATTTCAATTGGTAATGATAGTAGTAATGGTACTTATAATGGTAGCAGTAATATTTATAATATTGCATATTATATTAATGTTGTAATATTTTAAGAATAGTGATATTATTGAATATAATTAATATTAATGATACAATATTATTAAATATAATTAATTTTAATGATACAATATTATTATATATTGATGTGATTAACGCAATAATAATATTAAATTTAATAATAGTAATTGTTTAATAAAACAGTAATAATATTTGTAACAACACCAGTGATAACAATAAACTTGCAATAATGGCAATAATAATAATCATAATTTCTATTGCATTGTTTAGATGAAGAGATAGTATTTAATAGATTCATCATACTTTCATAAACAAAAGTAAATCAAGCAAAGAGATAAAGAGAATAAAAAGATTGTAATAATCACAATAACAATGTTATCAATACACCAAACGACAGTTAAATATTTCATTAGCCAAAATATTTTTTCATTTTTCCCGTTTTCAAATCGATATTGAATATAATGGAAATTGTTATTCCGATATCTTCCAGCTGAACACGGAATGGGCTCAAGTTGAAGTTATAAACCTAATCAACGATGGCAGCGGTCTTGGTTTCGGAATTGTCGGCGGGCGCAGCACCGGTGTCGTCGTCAAGACAATCCTTCCCGGCGGCGTCGCGGATCGGGTAAGCTTTCTGTAATTAAACGCGGCGCAGCTTCGTTGCCCCGTTTAATTATTCTGCAACAACAACCACGTAGAAGTGTTGTTAAATGTATTCGCGCGATCCTTTTATTTCGTGCACAATTCTGTCGAGAATAAGAGGCAACGAGTAGCAAAACTGTGTATCTTTCCTTCTTCGCTCTCTTCTTTTCTTCGTGAAACGAGATTAGATTTGAACAAATTAAGGAAATTATTCATTTTCATATATTACATTTGCGGGGAGAAGACGCGGAGAGGAAAACGTCCGGGAAAAAGAGTTGACGAAGAAAAAGAGAAAATGAGAGAAAGAGAGTGGGAGGAGAAACGTTGGAAAGTATAGAAATTATTTTCAAATTAGCCATTGTATCTATAAAAAGAGGGAAAAGGGAGCATGAGGGAAGAACGATGAGAAAGTACAGGAATTATTTTCAAATTAGGGATTACATCCGTGAAAAGGGAAAGAAGAGAGATTGTATAATAGGGGGAAAATTAAAAATGATAGAAATTATTTTTAAATTGGTTATAATTCTTATGAAAAGAGGGAAAAACGAGAATCAAAGAAGACAGATACAAAATTACAATTATCAAATGAAAAATTATGAGTTATGATGAGTTATCATGAGAATCTTTTATTTATAAAAAAGAAACAATCAGTAGAGAGAAAGCATCAGTACGTTTAGCGTTAAAAGAGTTCAACCTCGAAACATAAAAATATCAAAACTAGGAGAATGTTTTATTTATAAAAAAGAAACAATCAATAGAGAGAAAGCATCAGTACGTTTAGCGTTAAAAGAGTTCAACCTCGAAACATAAAAATATCAAAACTAGGAGAATGTTTTATTTATAAAAAAGAAACAAGCAATAGAGACGAAGAAAGGAAAGGAAGCACGAACGAAGAATAATCGTCGTGTGTTCGGTAGCCCGGTGATTAATTCGCGGAATTAAAGTTTGGTCCGTTTGCAATGCGAATCGCAGGATAATCGGCTGCAGAGCGGGGACCATATATTGCAAATCGGCGATGTCAATCTGCGGGGGATGGGAAGTGAACAGGTTGCCGCGGTGCTGCGACAATCCGGCACACACGTGCGGCTCGTTGTCGCACGGCCCGTGGAGCCGACCTCGCCCGATTATCAGGTAGGTTATTCATTTCTGTCAGATTTATTCTTCATAACCGTGCCGCCATTCATTCGAATTTAATCAATCGCTGCAATATACACGCCCTATGAATCCTCTTTCTCTCCCATTGGCAAATACTGGCTTCCCACCTTTTTTTCATTTTCTTACCATTACTCTTCTTCCGTTCATCTTCGACCATAGTGTTATCACATCTGTCGATATGGTGGAGACATAATTGAGATTAACGCTAAAATTAACATGTAAATTGATTTTCTGAGATTCCTTTATATGTGTAGAAACTCTGAGAGTGTACCTATTGAGGCTGAAATTGATTTAGAATTTGACTTACGCATTGCTGAATTAAATTCTTTAATAATTTCTTCGAATCATCTGTTATCTTTTTAAAAATTGCAGGAAGAAGACATTGGGAATGGGTCATTTTGAAATGTCTGGTAGTTTTAGTGTTAATGAATTTTGGGAAATGATGAAGTAATGAAGCTTTTTGAAACTACCGAGCAGGTACATTGATTTTTTGAGATTCCTTTATAGAAACTCCGAGAGTGTATCCGTTGAGACTTCAATTGATTTATAATTTAATTTGAATATTGCTGAATCAATTTCTGTAATAATTTCTCAAAAATATCTGTTATCTTTTTAATAAGTGCAAGAAGAAGACATCGGGAATGAGTGACATTGAATCTTAAGGTAGTTTTTGTGTTAACCCTTTGTACTCGGTTTAGTTTCAATGTTGTCGCGTGTACAGTTGTATTTATTTTTAGAGGAATGAATGAAAGTCGTTTACAACGGTAGAATTCAACATTTTATATTTGTTTTATTTATTACTATTAAAATAAGATTGAATTTTTATAATATTTTCAATCAATAATTTGATGAAATTGTTATAGTATTCTCATCAATAATGTGTGGTACTTTTAAAAATAATTTCTAATGTGCAGGAAGGGATTTGTATTGTCATCTCCATGGCATAACCTTCGCACTCCAAAAGTGCAGTTGTTAAATTCAACCCTTAACCGAGCACACACATTTTCGTTGATATTTCGAAAAGTCAGCGTCTATATAGGTAAAGTTTCATATTCGAGGCATGCAATAAATATGTCCAGTGGCGTGGAATAATGAAACCGCGGACGTTTATGCAAATACGGATGTTCATGGTTTGATTCACAGAAATCGGAGTCAAAGGTGAATCCGCGTACTCCACGGTTCTATCGGGATCTAAATAAAGAGCTCATTAAAATTTATCAAGCTTTCAGCCGTGTTGAATTTTATAGAATACTATATGTCATAAACACATACAATCCTCAAACTAATAACACGTCGACGTGACGTTTCATTTGAAATTTCTTTGAAATAAAATCAGTTATAACAAACCTCCAATCAGAAATGCTCTAAAATACAAATGTTTAATATAACAAGTATAAAAAAAATAATAAAAACAAATATTAAAGAAAAATATTGTTTGAATCCTAACAGTGAAATAATCAAATAATTCGATTTTCTGTAAGAATACACAAATGTTTGTATCGCAAGAGACAAATCGTAGGAAATAAATTTGAGAAAATTTCTATTCACAAATGATTCCGCTGTTTCGTCGCATAAATTTCCGGTAAATTAATAGAAGAGCATAGCTCTGCAGAATTCATAAAGGAATTTGCTCTCCAAAAATGTCTGCAGGCCGACGAGAACGCGTCGCCTGCTCCCCTTCCTTAATTATTATTTGCCCCGTTCTTTACCCTCGGAAGTGCTAATGAAATAGGTTAATCGAACTTTGCCTTAATTAAATTGTAGTGGGGCGCTTTCATTAAATTACCGGGTGAAGTCTGTTTGTCCGTTGAATTCGTTATAATTGATCACCGTTTGCCGTGTATCACTTCAATCACCAAATTCCGACGATTTTTCGAAATATTTAGGTCGCGCATTATTCAATCACTCTACAATTATTCGTTTTCCGTGTTCCAAACATTTTTTAAACGAACAATTTAATGTTAATAACGAAATTCACTGGAATTACTCTACAAAACAGCAAACCTGAGTTCTCGATTTAAAATGTAAATCTAGTTTTCACTGTGAAACATGAATTCATCGTCGTGCTTCAATTTCAAACACGAGTTTCAGTTCCTTTTTAGTTTGAAACGTGTATGTTTTAACATGTTTTTCTTGGCAGCTTTTAATTGGTCGATTTTGAATGTAATTTCAAGCGTGCCTCGACTTTTTATTTAGCCTCCGCTTTGAAACACGAATAATCGCGGGGCAAAGAAATAATTCTACGCGAGGTGATGATAAATCTGTTCACAAATGCGACTGCAACGCGATCAATATGGCGGACCGCAGATTCGTCGCAGATCTTGAATAATAAGCAATGAATATGAAAAACGCTGAGAGTTTTCGAGAGCTTTGCGACACGATCTTGGCAAGGAAGGATACGATTCCGGAATGATAAATAATGTAAAATTTCCCAGCCGGTAGTTCTGTGCTTAGGGTCTTCTTGAAGCCGATGAAGAATCCTCCGAGCCTCTTCTTCCTGTAATCCTGCGGCACACTCATCCGGGGGGTTGTAAATTCTTGTTCGTTAACTCGAAATCCTCGCGGGATTTAATGCTCGGGATAAAAATGTTAATTCACGGATTACGAAGTATTGGAAACTTTATCTCAACAATGTACTGCATTTAGATATTAATATAAACTTATAGCACTGCGTACTAAGTGATCTAAGTTGATGTAAAAGGATCTTTATGTGGAACGAATAACTTTCGAATTCGATATCTTCGGAACGAGGAAATTGCATTCTAGTTTCTCATCAGTCTTTCTTGAAATTTTGTAACTTCCATTTGAAGATTTTGTCGGGTTATTAAAAATAGGAAAATGGTTTTCGATAATGTAAAAATAATCGAATATTCTGTGAAAAATGTTGATTTGGATATTGTAAATAGAAATATGTCTTTTTGGATTCTTTAGAAATGTTGTAAATGTGTTGTAAATCGAATGAACCGTCTAAATCTGTAGATCATGTGCTAATGAAAGACAAAAAGAAGAATTTAATACTGTAGATGTTAATCAATATTATGAATCCAAATACAATTTTTAAATCCTCTAAAAACATCCTAGAAATTGTTTATAAATCGAATAAACCACCGAAATCTTCAGGTCACGTTCAAATGAAAGACAAAAGAAAACTAGTCGAAGGATTCAATCCTACAGCCACCAATCGAAACTATAAATGGAAACGTAATATTTTCGAATTCTTCAAAAATATCCTAAAAATTTCCTTTAAATCAAATGAACCACCCAAATCTTCGAATCTCGTGCAAATGAAAGACAAAAGAAAAATGGCCAAAGAATTTAATACTGCGGACACCGATCGACGTTATAAATGGGAATGTAATATGTTTCCGAATTCTCGAAAGATTGTCTATAAATCGATCGAAGAATTCAAACGTTCGGGTCAGCTGCGAATAAAAGTGAAAAGAGAAATGGTCGAAGGACTTAATACTACGGATATCAATCGGACGATGCGTTCCAGGCACTCGGCAGCCACGCTCCGATCGTACCGACGAAGATTCTGGGTGACCCCGATGAGCTGGACCGCTACCTGGTGCACAGCGTGCCGGAGACGTACAACATACGTCACGTGCAGGGCGATGCAGGTTACGACAACGGCTACATGTACTCCCAGGAATCCGACGTTGAAATGCACGTGAGTGTTCCGAACGTTTCAGTGTGCCCACGTGCACGCCGCGCGAATGTTTCTGGTGGATTGATATCGATACGTCCGCCTCCTCCGCGTTTATCTCTCTTGTTTTATATGGCACAGAGCTTTCTGTGTTTCCTTTTACAACTTCCCGGTAGATAAAAAAAGCTACGCCGGGGAATGCGATGCAGATGGAATGCGAATTTTTTAGTCGCGGAAAGTGTACGGTGTAATTCGGATAATGCTGACGGATGTTTTTCTGTTGTTAACTTGGCTTAATTTGATTTTTCGAGATTAATGATGGTGCGATGATGATATTGGAATTATGTTGCTATAGTATTTGTAATGTTTTGATGATATTACAATAATATTTGTGATATTTCAATAATATCACAATAATATTACAATAATATAAGATAAACATCAATAACACTACATATAAATTTCCTACAACGTAAAAATCCGTTATCAGCATTTAACGCGTTAGACAGAAAGTGACACTATTCAGATTACTCTGTAGTGTCAGTACACACTGATTCTTTTACAATCTATTCCCTCTTCAACCGAACCTTTTTTGTCTGTTTATCTCGTCCGTAATGACATTTGCTGTCCAGAATCCTCTTTTGCAAAGAATTGGTATTCCATAGGCAAGACCAGGCCTCATCATGGACGTAGTACGCAATCCTGTGCCAATTGGAGCAATGCCAGTGATACCAGCGGTTCCGGTGCAAATCTCGGAGCTACCGGTCCTCACCATGGACACCATCGACGTTAACTCACTGCCAGAAATGGAACGCTTCACTGTCGAGCTTAAGAAGGACATTTACGGCCTTGGGATCACCATTGCTGGATACGTTTGCGAGAAGGGTAATCTGATTCACATTTGAATCTGATCCACATTTCACTAATATACAAAGTAATATCCACTATCTATGCAACTAATGACATTAACCCTTTCTGTATAAAGATTTTTTAAAGTATCCAAAACTTTCATTGGATCAATTAAAATCTACATCAAATTTTTAAATATTAGAAGAGAAAGAATGATCTGTTTAAGCAATTAAATTATTCGCAACTTATTCTTCTAGATACGAAAATTTGACTTCGTTAATACGACGACATTCATCTTCTAAGAGTTAACCCCATGCCCTATGATTTCTTTCGTAACTGTGTATACAACTATTTCATTATTAATAATTTATTAGGAAAAGAAACAATTTTTATGCTTATTCTACGTCCACGTTTACTCTAAAGGGTAACGATTGATGACAGAAAAGTAATATTTAATTTATATTTAAAGCAATAAGTAACATTTAAATTTCTCAAATTCAGTTGGAAATTTTCGTCACGAGTCTGACACGATATTGTAGGTCGAGGGGTTCATTTATTATTCATAGTTTGCTTACGATCTAAAGGTCGAGATACGAGCATAGGAAATTGCTTGGAAGTGTAACTTGTCAAATGTGAATCACTATTTTATTGTTTACGTTCAACTGTAACTTTTTATAAATTCATACTTTGCATAGATATTTCTCCCTTCTTACTTTCTTCTTTTGAAACTAGAATGTCGAAGATTCCAAGGATTCTTTTATTAAGACATTTCACGATCCCTTCGCAGAGGAGCTGTCCGGGATTTTCGTGAAGAGCATCAGCGAGGGAAGCGCGGCCGACCTGAGCAACAAGATCCAAATAAACGATAGAATAGTCGAGGTGGACGGCCATTCTTTACAGGGTTACTCGAATCACGAAGCTGTCGAAGTTTTAAGGCGCACCGGGCAAACGGTAGTTTTATGCCTGGAAAGATACTTACGTGGACCAAAGTACGAGCAGCTACAGCAGGCGATCGCGGCCAGCGAGCTTAGACTGCCGCAGCCGAGTTCTCCGTCGATTACGAGCCTACCCAGCTTCCCTATTAGCGCTGTAAGTTTCATTTCCTTGGACACATGTGGCATTCCTCATTCTAATGTAGATCCCAGCCACTCTTTCTAACCATAGACTGAATTCTGCCTGAAATCTACGATAAAAGTTTGAAAATGTATGTAGGTAGCTAACTGAAGTTTAGGGTATACGAAGATCTATCATGTGAGTACCATATTTGAAGTTTGAACTTCGAATAAATTTGATAAATTCTTTTGGTACATCGTATAATCAATGAATTAACTGATACTTATTGCATTGAACTTGAAATAAAAGGAATCATTTGTTATGAATCAACACTAAGAATACCTATAGTGTCTCCAATACTTACTGACAAGGTTAATAGAAGTTCTCATGCACCGATCGCAATAAATTCCAGAATAAATAGTTGCGATCAGCTGCGCCATCATACAGCCAGTAAAAGATTCATGTAACTGCACTCCACCGTGCTAGATTGAATATTTAACAGAAGCGACGGACCAGAAGAATCTGCCGATACGTTAAATAATTTATTCAGGATAGAAAGAGGCTGGCAGACGTAGATCAATAACCCAGCCGAAGGTCGATCCGTGTATAGAGTATCACGTACGCGATTTGTTCTGTCGCAGGACGGCGAAACCACCACCGAAATAGAACCGGAGGGCGAGTCGCACACAACTGTGGACAGCGCGGTACTCCACGAAGGCGAGCGCGAACGGACGTCCGAAGAGCTGGACGACGCCGCGAACGTGGAGGCGCTATTGAGCGATCCATCGAGCGAGCTCACGCCGCAGATCCGCGCAGCCATTAAGTCCAAGTGGCAGAAAATCGTCGGTCCTGATACCGAGATCGTGGTATGTATTCAAGGCTCATTGACAATAACTAGCGAACACTGAAATTGACTTTTTGACGCTTTTCTGGGGACATTAAGAGTTCTTCTATTGAGATTTCTGTTAATTTGCCATTTTGTTTTCGTGTAGTAATCAATTGCTTTGGTAATTTCTCAGAGAATTATGTTATTTTTTCAACTATACCTTTCTGACATTTCTCTGAGAACACTAAGAGTTCTTCTCTGCAAACGAGAGCGTTTTGAATTTTCGAAAGCTGTTGGCATAGAAATTGGACGATGCATCAAAGCATTAAAAATTATAAAATTAGAACACCTATCACATTATTTAAAGAATTAAATTATTTACAGTCTTCGGTCTTACATGTCAAAGCTTGAAGTTGCCATGAACTTTGAACGCAAAAGGTTAATAGCAATTTCAAACAATTTTTATTTTTTATTTAGAAATTACTGAATCTAGAAACTAAAGTTTACTTTCCATTTTTAGGCTCTTTGGATTAAAAATATTTTTATTCTGTTTCTCCTGTAGGTGGCTCAACTAAAGAAATTCGCGGAAGGCAGCGGGCTTGGTATAAGTTTAGAAGGAACTGTGGATGTTGAGAACGGCCAAGAAGTCAGACCCCATCATTACATACGATCGATTCTACCCGAGGGACCGGTGGGGCAAAATGGGACGCTGCGTTCAGGAGACGAATTGCTGGAGGTAACGTTGGACTACTGTTTGCAAAGTTCCGCAGTATGTTGTCTTGCGTTTAATGTGATTCCAATTAACGCCTGCGGCGGGATGATACTATCCCAAAGTTTCACACCCGGTTATTCTACTAACGAGAAGCTTATACAAGGTGCCTCGCGAAGTGAGCCTTCAGCATCTGAGAATTGATCAATCCCCATTCGTTCCTTACTGTCCTACTCCAATTTGTCGTGTAGTATTCATATCGATGTAATATAGTAAGAAGACTGATGGATAAATATAAATTATTTTATGAAAAATAAAGAAATGTCATCTGCATGTATTCAAATAGAAAATTATTCCTATCGTGATAGTATATTTTGTTGAATGCATCGCTTTGATGTAAGAGTCAATGGTTTAGACGTTGATATTAAAGACTGATATTAATAGAAGTGATATTTTCAAATGATAAGAAAATAAATGTACAAATTAGGATGATTTAATTGTACTGAGTAAAATTGTATATTTTTCTTTGATGTAAAAGTCAATGGTTTAGAAGTTGATTTAATAATTGATATTAATAGAAGTTGATATTTTCAAATGATAAGTAAATAAATGTACATATTAGGATGATTTCATTGTACTAAGTAAAATTGTATATTTCTCTTTTGTTAACAAGGTGAACGGATATCGGTTGCTCGGTATTAATCATATGGAAGTAGTTAGCGTGTTAAAAGAATTACCTATCCACGTTCGGATGGTTTGCGGGAGGAACATTGCGTCACAGGATCCCCTCTGCCCGATCGACACTGCTCAACATCAGGCTGCGTTCCAGACTAGGGTAAGATACTGAATATTCATCAATTATTTACATGAAGTTTGCGATAGTCTCAACCTTCGTGCACTGAATTCAATCTGCCTTAAAAGTCGTTCATTTCTCAGTGTGTCCCAGTTCTTCCATTGTTAACTGAAATAATTATAAATAATCGTGAAAGAATTATTTGAACAGTGGACAGAGGCTATATTAACCCTTCGCACTCGAAAGGTGACTGACTCACCATTTGATTTCATACAGTAAAACTATAAAATTTGATATTTAATATTATACTTCGTATAATGCATCAATTTGAGAAATATTGAAATAAAATAGCTTTCTTTCACAAAATATCGTCTTTATCTCATCAGAAAATGTTAAAATATTTCTAGTGAAAACCTTTCGAGTGCAAAGGGTTAAACGAAGTTTAATGTTCTTTTTAGGAAGAATTTAAGAAAAATGAAAGCTAACAATATGTAAACCTTGGTTGATTTTCTATTGAACAATGTATTATTTATTTTATGCAGAGCATTCTGGGTGGATCGCTGCAAAACTTATTACCAACGATGGATCGCCTCGTTAAAGCGAAGTCCGATGGCTCGTTGGCTTCGACAACCACCACTGCTACCGTGACTGACGCCAGTTTGAACAAGATGAAGTCACGTTCCCTGGAACCGCTAACTGGTCTGGCTATGTGGAGCTCTGAACCGCAAATCATCGAACTGGTAAAGGGAGAGCGGGGCCTTGGGTTCTCCATTTTGGATTATCAGGTAACACCGTGAAATTATTCATTCCCCTTTTCCCCTATTATTTCAACGCTGGTGTCATTCAATATTCATTTCTTAATTCTTGCAGGAACGCTTTTTATTATCTGTTTAAACGACCTTTTTGTTAACCAACATCTCATTCAAATAGCAGAATATCTAGTAGTCAGGCAAGATGTGGAGCTGGGTCCCTTCCGACGAATTATGAATATTAATTACCTACTCGTTCAAACTCGTTCATACTATGAATCTATTAATCACACTAACTTATTACTCCAAGTTACTTCTCATAAATTGTTCCATAAAAAAGAACTTCTATAAACATCAACAAACCATTTACTCAATGAATGTTCTCACTAGACCAGCGGTTTCCAACCTTCATGCTACTACGCCTCTCTAAAAAAATTTGTTTTCCTCCCTATCTTCTAATAGATACAATAATATAGACACGTTTTAAACAATAATAACTTACAAAATAAACATTACTTCGCTTAATTTGTACTGTTACGTCACGATATGAAGTTTATTTATTTCTAGATATTACGGTATGAACATTAATTTTTTATTAAAAACTTTGGCGCCTCCCCTGACAGTAGTTCGCTCCTCCCAGGTTGGAAACCACGGCACTAGTAATTTTTCCACAAGAAATCCGAGGACACCTACTTGTACAGTCAGATATCAGGGAAACCCAGCTCCGCCATGAAACGGTTCCAGCTGAAGGTAAAAAAAGGTTATTGATCCAACGAGAAACTTGTCTGCCCGTTCCAGGATCCAATGAACCCCAACGAGACTGTGATAGTAATAAGATCGCTCGTGCCTGGGGGCGTAGCCCAGGTGGACGGGCAATTGATACCGGGCGATCGACTTTTGTTCGTGAACGACATCGCCCTGGAGAACGCGACCCTGGACCAGGCGGTGCAGGCGTTGAAGGGCGCGCCGAAAGGCACCGTGCGCATCGGCGTGGCCAAGCCGTTGCCCATCCCAGACAGTATTGTCCAGGTGAGCGATCAGGATGATCGGATCGAACCGAGCAGAGATAGGGATAACGAGACGACCACCTGCTCGATTCTGGATAGCCACAAACAGAGGCGAGAATATTTCAGGGAGCGCAAAGTGAACGTAATCGAGCCGCCCCATCACATGGATTTGATCGAGGGATTGAAGCATCAGCACAATCTCGTCAAATCCGAGAGCTTCTAAGCGCCACTTGAGCTACGTTTCACTGCTCGATGTTAGTGTCGATGGAACAACTATCAGGGCTCTCTTCAGGCTCATTCAAACCACTTGTTAGACGACATCAGCCTTTATTTAGACACAATTGGTGTTCTTGAAGACCTGGACACTAGAGAGCAGAATTGGACGCATCCAAAATTGTTCTTTGATACTCTGTTGGATACTCTAGTTGACTATTTCATTATTTATCTTCTAGAATTTTTTGAACGTTGACGTCTTTTATACTCTAAGTAATCTTACGTTTTACCAATGAAGGTGTAATCTTATATCAATAACAATTGTACATACTAAGCTCACATTACTGAATCAAAGACGTTGCCTTTGATACACAGATGCAAAGTGAATCTACAATTCTACTCTCCGCTGTAAAGGATTTACTTAAATCTAAATATTGAACTGAAAGAGGTCCAGGTCTATTTGTAGATTATCGATGTCCAATGTTAGAGCCTGGATCGTGCAATGACCCTGTAGATAGTTAGATACTTGTTCCATCATGGGTACCGTGATTATTCAGCCTCTGTTGGACCAATGAGATATTGCTTTCGCGACTCGCGTGTCTTCGAGACGATCGTACGGCAACCGAACCTCTCCATGATCGATCGATTGACTCACTTGACTCAGAGGACTTGTTTTTGTTTTTCTACAGCTCCAAATAGAGAGGACATGTTTTGAAGTTTCTTAGTTTTCTAGGACGATCAGCGTCGCGGCGCGTTTCCCGCGGCAACTATAGTGTATACAATCCGTCCATCGACCGCCTAAGACCTCTTTTTGCTCCGAGAATGGTACTTTCGTCACGCTGGTTCGAGTCATTACTCTCTTGTCCGTTTCGCGCGGCAACGCGGTGGAATCTAGTGCTCAAATAGTTTTTATCGAAACCGTGTAGGTATTAGGAGAAGACGAATAATTGGATCGCTTCGATGATCGAGGCAGGTCGAACGAATTCCGCTGATTTTGATAAGCAACTTTGATACAGTATGCGATGAGAAGTATCGGGATATTACGCCGAACCATGGGAACCCGTTGAAGTTTCTCCTATTTACAACGTTTTATATTATTACCGAACCTTTTCGTTTGTCTTGCTATTAGTTTGTAGAATTTCATTTACGACCACGGCATCGGCGTCAATTAACTTCCGTTTTCGTTCGATTGAAAGAGAACACTATATAAGACTGCATATCGTTGGCCAGCGTAATATTCTACGTGGTTTCATTATAGCGTAGAGATATCTTGAAAGTTTTTATTCCGTTCGCATAGACTTTAACGTTTAATTAAGTCGTTTAATCGTTTTTAGAGTATGGTACTTATATGATGAACGGATCGAGTTTCTTGCTGATCGAAGAAACGTTTTGCAGCGTGTATGAGTTATTGACAATAAATAGGGTGCCGTACACGTTATTTTTATTTTTTATTTAACATTCGTCCATACAACCCTGCTCCCGTCCTTTGTTTTCTATTTTCTTTTCACTAATGCGTTTTGTGTTCTGTTTTCCCGCGCTTTTTGTTCGTTTCTTATGTTCCCATTGTTTGTGTTGCTGCTGTGAGAATCTTTGTCCGAGTGTACACTTTTCCGAATGAACTTTACGTTGAACATTCAAGCGACGAGGAATTGTTCAGGTTGTTCTGAGAATTATTCGGTGAAACAGTGAGCAATGGAATTAATTAATCACGTGTTCTCGCGTATTTTCCTTGTAATTAAGCGGGCTGAGGATACTTCCGGAGTCAGTCGTCGTTAACGGATTTCCTTATGGTTATATGTGGTCAATACCAACTCATTATTGAGAAAACAGATTTTAAACCATGGAACGCGATTTAGAATTGAATAAAGTGTAAAACATTTTCTGGTTGCGTTGTCTTTCGGGACACCCTGTATACGCCGGTACGACTGGTAATTGTCGCATGCGGCAATCCGAATCGATTTTTACCTTGCAAGCGTAATTGGTCTCTACGCAAGCAATTAGACGACGACCAAACAACAATCCAGTTCCTCTATGTAACTTCCGTTTCTCGAAATTACTGTATTAATTGTAAAATCCAAACGCAGTTAGAAGTTGAAGGGAAAGCGTTGCCAAGAAAATTACTGAAATTCAGTCGGTTAACGATTAACACGAACGCTGCACGATTTTGTAGAGCAAAACACCGAAAATGAAACAAATATCGCATTAAATCGTTTGATTGAATTGCATTATTATCATTGCACGTTGATTTAGCTGAATGTCACGATATTTGATAGCATTGTTTTCAAATAATCATCGTTTAACCCCTTGACATATTTACTTTCTCCACTAAGCTCGTTATTTTACTATCGGTAATCTGGAAGAGAAACAGCGAAATTTTCCATTCTACTCTAAGCAGAAATCTAATTTGAAGATAATACATTAATAATAGGAAAATAATTCTTTGCTTTGATCCGTGGGCAATGAACAATGATTTTTGTCAAATTAATCTAGAAATCTTCATTGCGAGTCTCACTCGTCATGGCAAGGGTTAACTGAGGGAACTATATCAATTCGATTTGGTTGAGGGTCACGGGTATTTGCCCTATGATCTATTTTTCCCTTGTGATCTATACAACAACTTCGTCAACAATAATTTATCGAAAATGAGACAAATTCTATGCATATTTTACGATGAACTTATACCACTATACACGCAAGAACTCAGATACCATATTGTTACGCAATATATTTCAAATAGACAATCAATTCCAATCAAACTTAATATCTTCTTAAATACCGTGGTAATCAACAAACTTCCATAACTAAGTGTCTTCATATAAAAACCAGATTTCACCTTACCAGTACGCAACGTGTCAATTTCATTTTTTATTATCTTAACAATAATAATGCTAAATCCACTGGAAACTTCCACTAAAATTCTTTGCTCCTCCGTGCTCCGTTTGTTCACGAATTCGGCGCACGAGATCGGTGTTCCACTAATAAGTTCCGAGGGAAACACGCTGTCGCTGTGACTGACACGCGACACGGAACATCTGGACCGTGCGCCGCGAACGAGCACGCTCCAAAGATCCGATGTGCCACTTGCTATACGTGGAGCGATAGGAAACGGTCCGCTCGGTGACCTTGAACAGTCAAATGCCTTCTGGTCGAGGCACGAACCCGTTGTTCGGTCCGTGTGTTCCAATCGTATCGGAAACCGATATCGACGACTGACTCCGGCCGCGATTCGAAGTCCGAGCCTCGCGTCTCGATCAAACTTTTATCAGGACAGCACTGCGACGGAGTTCCTTCGCGCAGGATTATAGTGGACCGGCGAGGACGGGGTAGAATGGAAAGATGAACGACGAGTAGGCACAAGAATACATTTGGAGAAATAAAATGAAGATAGTATTTTTTTCTGGAATAGCTTCTGATTTTATTAGTAATAGAGTTAGTGTTACTTTGGAAAGGAAGCTTTCTTGGTACACGTTTCAACCCTTTGCACTCGGAAGTCTTTCGCTAGAAATATTCAACATTTTCGAATCAGTTATATGGGATACTCTTTGAAACGAACTGAATGAGAGAACATACATAGGTTAAAAGGCAAAGTTTTTTTGTATCTTCGCGCTCCTGTGTCGAGCGTGACTCGTCAGTTTTAGTCACAGGTGTGCTTCTTTGTCAAGATATTTTTCAAATAGACACACACACACATGCACTGGAACCTATTTATGTTACTATCTAATAGATTGGTTTGATTTCGCCTCGACGCTTATCTTGCCGGTTTTCTTGTTCCTCGCCGTTCCATTATGATCACAGCCTTATCGCCAGAGAAACGTACGACGAGCAGCTTGATCGGAGAAAGTCCTAGCGATGATCGATCGCTGGAACCGTGGAGCCTGTCAGGTTCGACCCCACGATAACGAAGTTATCGAATCGCGATGAAAACAGATCTTGTGTCGGGGAGAAGCAGCGGGAAACGGTACCAATCACGTACGTCTCGTTCCCCGAGCGAACGTGAATCCTTCAATGAAGAACCTGTTACACGATAAAATGCAAACTTGTAATTTCAGTTAATTACGATCATCGTTCCAGGGGTTGAAAACTGTTATAACATCGGTTCTGGTTTTCAAAGCAGTTTCTTGAGAACTGGAATGATATTGTAACAGTTAGAGATGAAAGAAACAGCGAACATTACTGAATTATTACTATTAATTGCAGTTGCAAGTATAATTCGAATCATAATGACGTTACATAATTCTGATTATATATTCAAGATTTTTAGGAATATTTAGAATTAATATAATTTTCTCATTGGACTTGGACAGACTTCGTGTTTAATATTCGATTTCAAAAGTTTGCATTAAAAGAAGCAACTCCCCGCACACCCGGTGTAATTACTGAAATCGCCAGTTCGAATTTTATTTTGCGAAGGGTTCGAAAGCCGACTCACTCGTGCACCAAAGTACCGAAATCAGAAAGGAGAGCGAAAGAGTGTGAGAGAGGAAAAAAAGAGACGAATCGCGGGGAAACGTAAAATATATCGGGTGTTCTGTAACCGGTGGTTGAACCGGGAACGGCGTGATTTTACATGACAAGAAAAGGTAAAAAAAACAAGTATGGAATAAAAGTTCCCCGTAGGTTTCGATTTTTTTCGACAAAATCAAACTGGAACATCCGTCTAGCACGCGCGCGATCGGCAAACAATCCGCGGAACGTCGTTCCACACGCGCAGCCCCATAAAAACCGTGGCAAAATTCTTTTTATCGGACACGTCGTTTCCGAGGAAATCGAATTTCTGCGAGCAATCGCACAATCGGCCGTTTTCCAGCC